GCTGTGCTGGGACAGTGAGATTGGGGGACGGATACACACACACAGACACACAGACCCCTCTCCTACAATCAACCCTAGGGGCAAGCGCAGAAAAAAAAAGGCAGTTCTGTTGTCTTTCACAGGTTATCTCTTGCGAACGCGGGAACAAGAACGCAGTTACAGAAACGGTCGCCCCCAAAATCAGCCACAGTCTCCCATACTTCCACACTCCCGCATTCTCTGCGTGGCACACGCAAAACCTGTCGCACAACGATCCACTATCACCAGAGGTAATTTAAAATACAGAAGCTCACTGCACTGATAGAATCCGTCTCCTCGTTGGTGTGCAAGCACAGAGGTGTGCAGCAAGCCTCACACACTGACCGCCACACCCGAGCGTTCGTCTGTAAGCACCCACTGGGGCAGCCTCCCGGCCTCCTCACACAGCCTGCGAGCGCTGGAGTGCCGGGGTCGCGCAGTTCCCCCTGTGTACCCGCACGCCTGGCCGAGGCCGCAAGGAGCGCAGGCGCGAAGGAGAGGCGTGGCGTGAGGCCTTATGGGAATTGTAGTTTCAGCAAAGGACGCAGCGCAAAGCATTCTGGGGCTTGTGGTTCGTGTGGTTCCAGGGGCTCCTCCATTCGCTAGTTCAGGTACCGCACAACTGGAGGTCCTTCTTGGTTCGGTCCTTAACCTACTCCGCCTCGCGGAGGATTCTGGGAAGTGACGTCGCTGGTCTTGGTCGTGGGGCCCGTTTCCGGAGCCCGCGGCGCGGGGAGGTGAGTTACGCTTGGCTCCGGGGCGAGAGGGAGAGAACAGGGCCGGGCTTGGGATGACTGGCACCGCCGGGGAGACTGTGTGTGATCGTGTCACTGTGATATGTGTATAATTGTGCGACAGACTGAGGGTGTGACAGTGTGATCTCGTCTGTCACTCTGTGTGTGTGTTTGTTCTCGCGCACTTGTGCGTGACTGTGACCGTTTGGGGGAAAACTGAGTTTGTGTGTTTGGGTGCGTCTGGAGGTATAACCATGTGTCACTGTATATGGGTTTGTGAGAGACTGAGGTGTGACATTGCGTGTCTGTGTGAATATTTGTGTGTGATTATGTTTACCCAGCTGTCTTTGAATGCAGCTGTGTTTGAATGTGTCTGCAAGCAGGATGATTTTCTGACCATGACCATGTCAGTGCAGGTATAATTTTGTTTGAATAATTGTAACCTTGTGTGGTGTGCATTTGTGTGTGTGTGTTGGGGGGATGGATGTGGTTGTTTGTGACTGTTGCAGTTATTGTATGTAGTATATCTGTGAGATTATAGATGTGTTTTGTTTGTACAACCATGTGTTTATGTGTGTGTGACTGAGTGAAAATTTATATGCGTGTGTGAGATTGTGGGCCCTGGTCTGTGATTGTGAGGTTCAGAAAGATGACTTGCCCAAGTTCACACAGTTAATAAGTGAGGGAAGCAGTACTCAAACCCAAGCAGTTTGGCTCCAGTGTTCTTGCTTTTAACTACTAAACTCCCTTGAGCTTTCCTATATTGTGAGAGTGAAAAATGGGAATCCTGGGTTCTGAGGATATTAGTCTCTTTTCTGGTCTTAGAGTAGGATCCTTTAGAAGATAGGAACTTTGACTCTCAATGTCAGTCCTTTTGTGACCCAATCCAGTGATATTGGCTACTTCATGGAGGGAAAGCCCAACCTGAAATCCCAGCCTTTTTCTCCTTCGGCCATGAGTTTGAGATATTAACTTTGTCCTTGTTAAAACTCTTCCTTGTTTGGTGCTAAAAAAGACTGAGCTAAGTTTTTGGTTTTGACTTTCTCAATAAACAAAAATGTTCTCGTTTCATTTTCAAATGTGTGTATAGGCTCTAAGTAAGGACAAAGGTAGCACTTCTTTCTGCCAGTGTTGGCTCATGCAATCTTTCTTTCCTATTTTTAAATTTTTATTTGCCAGAGGGTGCACATGCAGAGAGAGAGAGAAAGGGAGAGAGAGGAGAGATGAAAGCATGCCCCAGTGGAGTTAGTCACAAGCAATTCCTTCTCCATTTTTCCATCTCCTCAGGGTTCTGGGCATGCTCATACATGTGCCCAGCATGTTCTTTTCAAGCTGCTGGGGTCGGCACAGTGGGAAATGGGGGATCTGGTTCCTACAACTACCAGGCCACAGAACTGACTGCCTCATGCAATCTTCACACAGAGGAAAGAAAGATTTTGAGTGATAGATTATGAGACTTCCCTGAAGTCATGTAGCCAATCAGTGAAGGAGCTTAGAAAGTTAATCTGGCTCTGGGAGTTTAAACCAAAATCTTGGGGGCCAGCAGGTGGTGTAGTGGTTAAGGCACTGGATTCCCACATGGCTGACTGTGGTTCAAATTCCAGACATAGTGACATGAAAATCATGCTGGGTGCATGTGTGCCCCAAATCCCAGGAGAATGGAGAAGGGATTGCAGCATGGACATCTCTCCTGGGGATGTTTTCTCGCCTTCCCTGTCATTGTCTCTCTCTGTCTCCAGTGAGCACACACAGCTATGGCAAAAACCTCAAAAAAAAAAAAAACTTTCCTGGGACTGGCAGATGGCATAACAGTTATGTTGTCACTAGACTCCCATGTAGTCAACTGTGGTTTGAGTCCCAGACCCAGTGACTTGAAACTCATGCCAGAAGAGTGTGCATGTGTGCCCAGAATCCCAAGAAGAGAATGGAGGAGAAGGAACTGTGTTGTGGCCATCCCCCTTGGAGGGGGTTGATTTCTTGCATTCTGTCTCTCTGTCTTTCTCTCTCTCTTTCTCTCTCTTTGGTGAGTGCATGTGCCCTATAGTTAAAATCTCTCTTAAAAAAATCTCTATCACACCTTCCAGAGATTACTGGCTCATTTCAAACCTAGAAACATTACTCAAGGTATAACACAGCTATCAGCACAAAACAAACAGAAACTTAAACAACAACTACATCCATTCTTCTCTCAGGTTGCAGAGACTTTGGTAGAAAATTTCAAGCTGCCCTGGACTAAAGAAACAATTTTCTTAGAAACTGAGTTCAGCTAGTGCAGAGTAGCCCAGAAATAAGGGGTCATATATGCTTAATTCTATGTCAAACACAACTGTTCCCATTTTCAGGATGAAGAAATGTTGGCTCTGAGAGAACAAAGTATTTATTTCAAACTGTGCAGTTTGTTGTTGGTTTAATATTAAAACTTGGTAATTTTCTCTAAGGCTGCATTTCTGTAGAGTAGTAAAATTAGTATCTATCATCTCTGAAGATGCCTCACAAAGGCATATATGGCATCATTTCCTCTCAGGATTTGTTGAGTATATCTCACTTAGACATCATAGTCTCTTGAAAGAAGGCCACTTTTTAAGTCATATTTCTTTTTTTTGTAAGAAATTATTTATTTAGCTTTATTTATAATCATCGTTGTTATCTTTTTAATTTTGAACAGAGAGAGTGAGAGAGGGAAAGCGAGAAAGCAAGCTGCCAGGTTCGGGACTCGAACCATGGTTGACCCTGTGGGACTGTCCAGTGCCTCAACCACTACACCACCTGCTGGCCCCTTTAAGTCATGTTTCAGTTGGACTCTTAAGACTTTGAGTTGGTTGTTTATGTATCTTGAACCCCAGAAGCATAAACAATAGGAGTTTCACTCATCAGTACAATGGAGATGCCATGCAGTTTTTGAGGATTAAATGGGATAACCTACACAACATGTATAACATCACTCTTTATCTTACAGTAGTCACAGTAAGATTTATTTATTAATTTATCCAATATTTTCAAGCTCCTCCTGTGGTCTTGGCATTGTCCTATCACTATAAAACACTAAACAAAGCCTAGCTCTTTTGGATCTTACAGTCTTAAGTGGTAAGGCAAACAATAAACAAACAAAAAAGTATATAACATATCTGATGGTGATAAATTCTGAGAAGAAAAAAAATGTAGAGTAAGGACAAAAGGAAATGACTGGAAAGAGAGTTCTCTTTAGGTAGAGTTTTCAGGAAAGTTCCTCTGATGGAGTGACAAGTGAGCATAGAGAGGAATAAAAATGAAGTGAACTGTGTTGATATCTGGGAGAAGAGTGTTCTGGAAAGAAGGAAAAGCAGAGGCAACAATCTGAAAAAGGAGTGTCCACAGTATTTGAAGAACAGTATGGAGACCTGCAGACATGTGTCCCTGGAGTGGGACAAGCAAGGGGAAAAGGGCAGGAAGTGAGGTCAAAGGGGCAGGCAGGGGCCAGATCAGAAACTGCCTTGTTGGCCACGGGATAAGGTTTAGATTTTGTTGATTTCATGCTATGTGTCTTTAATATAAACCAAAATTTCTAGGGTAAAGTTTAACATTAGTCTTTTTCTTAGATCTTGGAAAAAGTAAGGCTGGCCCATGTAAGGAGGATGTGAGGACTGTAAAGGGGTGATAATCCCATTGTTGTGAGTCACAAACCAGTGACATAGGGTTGGGTTGTCATTTTTTCTTCCTTAATCTTTCCTTCTTAGGACTTTGTTTTTCTCTGAAAGAAAAAATTGAAGGAAAAAAGAATGGCTGTTGGACTTTATAAAGCCATGTCCCAGGTAAGTTGATGTTATCAGAAATTTTATATCATTTCTGAGGATTTGGGGACTACAGAGAGAATCACAGTGATCCCCTCCACTTCCCTCTCTCTGCCTTTTATTTATATAATTCTTCTATGAAATATGTATATGTATATATTTTTTTCTTTAATCCAGTGTTATGGCCAAATGTGTGATGACTCAGAACTGTCCTCTTTAGATGGATCATGATCTGTTGAGTTAGAATGAATGCAAATGAAATAAGGGACAGAGTATGATTATTGAGTGCCCTGTTAAATGAGGTCAAAAATAGCCTCTCTGAAGAAGTGACTATTTTTAAAGTTTATTTTTCCCTTTCCTCCATGAGTGATAGAAAGAAAGAAAGAGAGGGAGACAGTACCGACAATAGATTCCTGATGCCACTCCCCACCCCCAACCAGCTCTGGATCATGGGCACACACATGACCTACATTTTCACAGAGGTCTCCAAATGCAAATGTGAACCCTCCCATGTGGGTTCACCTTGCAGAGTGTCATGTATTTCTTATTGCTGCTCCCCTATCTCATCCCTCTGAGGAAGTGGCTTTTCTTTTATTGTTAGATGGTCCGTGTGCCCACTGAGAGAGAGAGAGAGAGAGAGAGAGAGAGAGAGGGCGCCACACAATGGGGCATGATTACAGTGCCATTGGGATTTGGAGCGCTCATGCACATGCACTCAGCTTGTTTTTCAAGTTGCCAGAGCTGGGATTTCAACCATTGTCAACACTGTGAGATCTGGCTCCCTTAACCATAGGCTGCAGAGCCAGCCTGGAAGTGACTTAAGCAAAACAAAACATCAGTGAAAGTAGTAAGTTTTATTCAGATCTGGGAAGGAGTTTTAAAATAGAGGAAATAGCGAGTATGGAGTTGCTGCAGTCTAGTATATTTGGTGCCTTCCAGGAATAGCAATGAGCCAGTGTCCTTATAGGGGTATGAGGTCAGATGCTTAGCTGAGACCAAATTAGTTAAGTCCTTGAAAGTCATGATCAGAATTTTGAGTTTTGTTATTTAGTGTTTTTGAAGGAAAATCGTTGGAGTGTTTGCAAGGTGATTTAATAACCAATTTAAAAGGAAAACATAGCAAGAGATTAAAGATGAAAGCAGGAAGCCAATCAGAAGACTATTGCAGGGCACTGGCAGGTGGCATAGTGGTTAGTGCACTAGACTCTCATATGGTCTACCGCAGTTCAAGTCCTGGACCTGGTGGCTTGCTTTCTCACTTCCCTGCTCTTTCTTCTCTCTCTGGTCAAATTAAAACATAATTAAAAAAGAAGAAGAAGAAGAAAGTGTGACTTGGAAAACATAATTAAAAAAGAAGAAGAAGAAGAAGAAAGTGTGACTTGAAAAAAAAAAAGACTATTGCAGTAATATAGCAGGAAGGTGATAACAGCCTAAAGCTGATTAGATTCTGGGTATATATAAGAGATAGAAAACAGGTTTTGAGGGCTAGTAGATGGCATAGTGGTTACATCTCTGGACTCTGACATGGTCGACTGCAGTTTGAGTCCCACACCCGTTGGCTTGAAAATCACACTAAATGCATGTGTGTGTGTGCCTAATATTCCAGGAAGAGAAAGAAGAGATTGTGGTGTGGCTGTCTCCTCTGGGGGTGATTTCTCACTTTCCCTGTCTCTCTCACTGTCTCTCTTTCTCTCCTTGTCTCTGTCTCTCTTCCTCTCCAGTGAACACACCACACCCTAAGGCAAAAACCTCTTAAATAAAAAAAGAAAAAGGAAGGAAGGAAGGAAGAAAATGGATTTTGATCAGGGATTAGTTTTGGAGTGCACGAGGAAGAAAGAAGTGAAGGGTGACTGCAAAGATTTTTGGCTGGGCAGCTGCATAAATGGTCATGCCATTTACTGAAATGGAAAGACAAAGTTAGGTGGGGTGGGAATCAGGAATTGAGTTGTAGACCTAATGTGACTGCTGCAGCTTACTCACACCCCAAAAGGTGCCCCTTCCCTGGGGTCATGATGGGCAGCAAGATGGTGTCTGCCAGCATGCATGACTGTGCTGGCATTAATATATGCCATTAATAAGATTCCCTGACAGAAGATACAATCCTGAGCCCAACATATCAGAAGCTTTGAGATCAGCAGGGTTACCATTCCCATTCTTCTGCAGTTTCACAGCCTTCTAAGGGAAGTACATCACCAGATTTGCTGATGTATTAGGGTCCACCAGACATGGCAAAAATAATAAAAACTTTACCTCAGAAATACAGAAGGAAACTTGTGTCTCAGGAAGAAACTGAATTTATTTAACATGGTGGTGCAGAGTAATCACAGTGGCTGCTGTTTTCAACATATGGAAAAGTCTTTACAATAAAGGACTTCCAGCGTGACAAATGAGAAATTGTATATTAAACTACCTTAATAAATACTCTGTAAAAAATGAAATATATAAAGTTTATATGGGCTTTCTGTGCAGATAGCAGGCCTGCAAGCATGGTAAACATCCCTGAAACCCGCCAGACCTTCTGTAAGAAGTGTGGCAAGCACCAACCTCATAAAATGACACAGTACAAAAAAGGCAAGGATTCTCTGTACGCTCAGGGAAGGTGGTGTTATGACAAGAAGCAGAGTGGCTATGGTGGACAGACTAAGCCTATTTTCTGGAAAAAGGCAAGAACTACAAAGAAGATGGTGCTGAGGCTTGAATGTGTTGAGCCCAACTGCAGCTCTAATAGAATGCTGGCTATTAAGAGATGTAAGCATTTTGATTTTTTTTTTAG